AATACTCTGTTCGATCAAACCACTTGCTAAGAAATTTGGTTCTTGCTTAAAAGGCTCTATTATCATAGTTCTGTTTTATTTTGAGAAATTTTTATATAGTAATAAGATAATGAGAATAATATGAATATCAAAAAATAAGATATTGGAAATGTTGAAGAGTCTAACTATATCTGCTATCTTTGTTATTAATAGATTTGATTTTGTACTTTTGTATTATAAATGGTGTTAAGAATTGTACAGTATAATAAATATTATACCACTATTATACTGTCACTTACAATGAAAATGATATTTACACAGTATAATGGGTTGTTGTGAATATTATGCAAAATCACAGGCAATCATTTATTATGCGTCATTGCGGCATAGCCGCGATGATGCATAATAAATGATTGCCTGTGATTTTGCATGATATTCATAGTAATCCATTAAATATCTGTTTTATCCCCTGGATCCTAACGCCTTGTGATTATTTCACTGATCTTTTCACTTTTTCACCTTTTATACAAAAAAAATGTCAAACCAAAAAAAAAGAAAAGATATTCAAAAATCGCTAGTTCCTGTTTTTATTAGTGCATGCACTTATATTCTAGAAAATATTTCTGAAGACATTACAAGTGCATCAAAATCTAAATTAGATAAAAAACTAAATTTTTACAGAAAAAAAGCTGCAGTTCCAAATACAGAAAAATCTACACAAAACTGGATAAAGAAGTTTGATAAATTTCACCAACGTCACAATTACACAACACCAATTGAATCTATTAAAGATCCTCATCTAATTGAAAAACAGATATGTGAATATGTTGTACAAATAACAAAAAAGGATAGAGGTGAATACAAAGCTTTAACTATTAAACTAGCTATCAATAGAATAAATAGATATATCAGTAAAAATAGTACAATTTATGGTCTTAATTTATATGATAAATATCAGTTTCCAGATTTGCATGATGCTTTAAACAGTAAAATAAAAGATTTATAGGAGACAAGATAAAGGATCGATGGTTTTAACAGTTTAGCAAGTTAGAGAGATTCTTAATGATGAATCTCTGGATTCTAAAACACTACAGGGTTTATTATATAGAGTTTTTTTTCATAATGCAACAATTTATGCATATCGAGGTGACAAACATGATTGGTTTCAAATTAATCAGTT